TACACGAACGAATTTTTTATTGAAAGTCATACGTGCCGGGTTCCCTTGTTTTTTGGGTGGATAACTATCATAGTTAAAAAAATAATTAAAAAATAGCATAGTTAATGGATTGTGTTGACTGTAGCAAAGTTCAATTTTATAGATTGCGTTGTTCTTGGTATTGATGTTCAAAATTTACAAATAAAATTAGACAACAAAAAATATGTTTAGTTTATAAATATATAATATATCAACTTGTAATTATAACAAAAAGATTGTCAAGCTTACTAAACAAATATATAAACTAGTATAAGTGATTGAGTTATAATTCTAGCATGCACAGGTTTTATTATTCCTTGGTGTAAAAAGATTGAATGTTCCTGCATGTTAAAAAACATTCTTCTAATATTTTACAATCACTTATTAATAAACAAATAAATATAAATATGAAAAACTTAAATGAACAAACTATTCAATCACGAAGAAAAAATCATTTGAAAAAAACACTTTAAAAAATAAAAATTCTTTAGGGAAACTAAACCTAAAATAGATAATTTTTATTAGTCTAAAAGATTATAAAAAAGAGTATTTATAACTACAAATTCTTTGTATCTAGATTATCTTACTTGTTAATACAAACACTATATTTTGTTTTTTACCGCAGTAACTTATTAGAATACTTGATAATTTTTAAATTATTGTCATCCTAACTGTAATAGCTAGTTGCTAACAGTTAACACATGAACTCATCTTAGAAGTTTGTAAAATTTTTAACTCTTTAGTGAATAATTCTCATTTAAAAATTTCTTCACACTCCACTTATGTGTTAAAAGTACATGCTATGAAACTTTGTATAACCTCTTAACTAGTTGAACACTCTAACTCTGCTAAAAGTGTTACTTTGCTCCTTTTATTTTTTATGGTCTTTTTTTATATACATATCTATATGATAAGGATAAAAACATTATCTTCAGATTTTCTAGTCTGTTATATTATTAACAAACTGCTATTTGTGATTCATAAAAATACTTTTTTGATAATTATCTTTGAATAAATTGTATTTATTTTATTTTGATAAAACTTGTTTGAACTTTTAATTTATCCAAACAAACTAGATTATTATAGAAATAATCACTCTATATATCATAAGATAAACTAAACTAATTCTTTAATTAATTTGGATATACTATCAATCTTAAATAAATTCATCTTTAACAACACAAATAATCTTTCACTAATCAAAACCAAATATTTCTCCCCTTTAGCTGATTTATGACAAAACATAATAAGGATAAATTAACATGCATGTAGTTCAAATAGTTTAATCATAAATAGATATTTCATTAAAATATACTTGCAAGTAAAATTAAAACAATATTATAACAATATTATGTAGCATGAAAACAATTAATAATATTTCTACAATAGTAGCTTAATAGTTTCTAACATGTTTTATGTAAACAATTCATAACATTATTAAAGAATATTTTATATAGTATGTTGCATTCTAACAATTCAAAATATGTTCAAAAAACTATTATGCATAAGATATTGTTATACAACTATATATGTGAAATATTCAACATGGAGGTTCATAAGCTAAAAGAAATATCCTAATTATTACAAACTAGGATATTCAATATTTAATATACCTCTATAAGCTAAACGAAATATCCTAATTATTGCAAATTAGGATATTCAATATTTAATATTGTATACATCTTTGCTTTCTTTTATAATTGATATGCTGAAATCTTTTAAGCAGTGTTCTTAGAATTTTCTTTATAATTTGCCAATCTTCTAACTTTTCTCATAGATTAAACCTAGAATTTAGAATATCATTAAGTTTTGCATAAAACTCATTTAAAGATTCATCTTCCAACATTCTTATCTTCTCAAATCTTGAGATTAACATTTGTAATTTGTAATTTTTCATTGTCTTGGTTTCCTCATAATAAGTAACTTTAAAAATATCTTAAGCTTCTTTGTTTGTCTCACACATGAAGATTCTTTTAAGTTCATCAAGAGATCTGCTATGAAAATATCACCCCAAGTCTTTGTTATTCCAATTACAACAAATGAATTCATCTCTACTTCAATCTTTAAAAAGATTTCCATGCATGGTCCAACCACGCTCAACTATGTGCCAAACTTTCTTGACTAGTGAATTGAGGAAAGTTTTAGTCCTCACATTTCAGTAAATATAGTTCTCACTGTTGAATTATGATATCAAAGTCAATGTTGACATGTTTCACAAGGAAAATAAAACTCGCTCTAAAATGAGTAAACCTGCTCTAATACCACTTGAATATTATGTTTCTATTCCCTATATATTTAAAAGCAATATGCTAACACTTTGAAACCACTTATCAATAACCAAATAAATATAAGTATGAAAAAACCTAAATGAATAAGTCATTTCATTATAAAGGGAAAACTTTTTGAAGAACTTCTCTATAAGATAAAAAAACCTTTTAGGGTAGCCAAATCAAGGGTAGACAACTCTCATTAGTTTAGAAGATTATAAGAGGAATATTTATGACAATAATAGTGTTTGAGAATGTGGTAGCAGTTGTTTTTTAAAATATTTTTTCTCTCGAAAATGCATGAAAATAATATTTTTTTTATTTTTAAAAAACTATTTTTGATATCAGCACATCAAAATATCCAAAAAACATCAAAAAATTAATTTCAAACAAAAAAAATTTTTTAAAAAATAATGAAACACGGTTCCAACCATAAAAACAAATAGCCTTACAAATCCTTTGAAACTTCACTACCTTATTTATTAAGAGAAACACTTTGGTTTGTCTTCTACCATAACAGTTTGCCATAATACTTGAAGATCTTCAAATTGTTGTCATCCCAACTGGAATATCTAATTATTAATAGTTAAAACATGAACTTCCCTTAAAAGTATATAGGCTCTCTAACTCTTTAGCGAACAATTCTCATAAAAAACTTTCTTCACGCTCCACTCATGTGTCAAGAGTATATACTACGAAACTCTATGTAACTCTTTAGTATTTAGACACTCTTGCTCTATTGCAAGTGTTGCACTCTCTTCTGTGTTTCTCTCATTTTTGAATGTCCTTCTTTATATACATATCGATATGATAAAAATAAAGACATTACTTTCATGATTCCTAGTTTATTATGCTATTAACATACTGTTATTTATGGTTTACAAAAACATATTCCTAACAGTTATCTTCACATAACTTGTATTTTTTTTTAATAAAACCTATATGAACTTTTTATTTATCCAAACAAACTAGATAAAAATAATCACGTTATATCCCATAAGATATATTACATCAATTCTTTAATTAATTTGAATAAACTATCAATCTTAAATAAATTTATTTTTAACAACACAAATTATCTTTCACTAATGAAAACCAAATATTTCCACATTTACAATATTGTTTGGCTAATTTATGACAAAATATAATAAGGATGGAATATCATGCAAATAGTTCAATAATAAACAAATACTTCATGAAAATATACTTGTAAGAACAATTAAAATAGTGTTATTTAGCATGAAGATATTTAACAATATTTATGCAACAACAACCTAACAATTCCTAAAATGTTTCATGCAAACAATTCATAATATTTTTAAAGAATACTTTATACTATATGTTATCTTAATAGTTCATAATATGTTCAAATTATGTATTTAAGATATTGTTTCTTTACCTATCATTTAATATGACATTTACTTTCAGATATGATCTTAGCATTTTTCTTTTAATGTTAACAGCCATCTCGTTAATTATTAGATATAAACTAGCTATGCTGGTTTAATTGTAATGGATATCCTATGAAAAAGAAGTTCATGTCTTTATAGTTATTACTAATATATTTTTTTTCAAATTGTCGTCACTTTCTATTCAATGAACTATTCTTTTTATTAAATTTTTTTTTTTTTTGTCAAAACACCAAAAACATTAAAATATTTTTTTTTTGTAAAAACACCAAAAACATTTATGAATCAGAAAAGAAGTTTCCGGCAAAAAAAATGTATTTGTACTGTATTATTTTATTCATTGTCTTTCTTACAAATACATTTGTGTTAAAATTATTAAAGTCTTATTTTTTATTAAATTTCTTCTTTATGGTTATGACAAGTTGTTATTTAAAAAACAACTTTTCTGGTAAAAAAATATAAAAGTGGGAACACATTAATATGATGAAGTGATTTTAATTAAAGAGATGCCTTTTTATCCTTATTTCAAATTGTTTAATTGTTTTTTTATATTTATTCTATTTGCTTTCAGTTTTTATTGAATAAACAATATAGCTTAGAAAGCTATATTTTTTCTTGTTAAAAAATATATTTATATAAAAAATAAAAATTATATTAGAAGATAATCTTGTTTCAATAGATATTGAATTATTACTCTTCTTAAAAAAAAAAAATTAAATGCCATGTACAGCCTTTAATATATAGCCCTTTAGGATATACACCATGTGAAAATTTATTATTTAAATATTAAATAAATAATAGGTCATTTTAATTAAAAAAAAACGTAATTAACACATAGCTCCAATTTCAATCACTAATAAACTTATAGTCTAATGATATTTAAGTTCTTGAATTCAAGGTGGACCAAAAAAATTGCAAGCCCAAGTTTCCATTGGGTTAACATGAACAAAAATCAGTTAATTCACCGAGCCAGTGGGCCTTATCTGCCTGAGATAGTGGATTGTAGCAACTGAGTGTTCAGGACCATAGTCATTAGCCCACTTTCCAACAGTGTGTAACCAGGTAGCCCATAGGCCCATATGGTAGCTAGATCAGCCCCGATACTTATCGGAAGAGACACATAACGCCGTTAGGAAGTCGGATAGCGGCAGTTGAATAAATGAAACGAAAAGTAATGGGCATCGTGGATCGAGGACCAAAATGATAATTTGTCTAAGGATAAGATAGGCAAGTTATCATACAGAGAAGAGACAGGTTCCACTTCAGTTCAATTTATTACAAGTCTACTTCTACTTCAAAGGTGGCATGCTATACTTATCTATAATATTAAATTAAATTTAAACCATCTCGTACTGTTCATAAAATAATAGTAAAATAAAGGGAAGCTAATTCTCTTACTTATGCCTCTATGCTAGCATTAATTTCGTAAATTGGATTTAATAAAAAAAGTCTGTCTGTGCCTGCCATCGTAGACTTTTCTAAAGAGAGAAATCGTGCGTTGAAGCCAAGGATCTGACTGTAGAGAAGAATGGTGAGCTATCATGCTTTATTTTTGTGCTTCCACCTTCCACCTTCCACTTCTCTGTTCCCTTTTTTCCTCTTTATATGTATGTATGCATATATATATTTCTTAGATTCGGTGATTCTCTGCTTGTTTCTCGAGATAATTACCGGAAAGATGTCTGAATTTTAAGTCTTTGATTCGAATTTCCGAGACACATTCGTCGTGTTATTTTTAGGTTGCGCAGGATTTCATTTTTCTGACCTGGGATAGTCAAACTTTTGTTTTTTGTTTGATTCCTTGAACTTCCAAAGCTTTTCCCTTTGTGGGCTGCTAAACATTTTGGATATTGGTGCTTTGGTGAGGATGAAGTGTTGTTTTTGTTGCAGAGTTTGTGTAGAAAGTTGTGATTTTTGTTCTTGATTTGATGATCGGTGATGTTTGAGAGTTGAAGGAGGGATATTTGATCAGTTTTGGGGAAAGGTTAGTTTTTTTTTTTTTGCTCTCTAGATTTTCTTCCGAACCTGAAATGTAATGGTACCCCCAAATCTTAACAAAATTTAGGGGCTAAAAAGTAAATTTGTTGATAAAAGTAGACAAGGCAGAACTCCACGGTGTAGTTTATGACGTTCGTTTGATGAACAGAAAAGCTCTAGCATCTTCATATAATATTATGTTTTTTAAGTTTTTAAGACTTGTTCTTAAATTTCTTCATGAGAGATGAACTTTTGAGTTTTTATCCAAAATGTGTGAGACCCATTCCAAGTCTTTTCTGTTTAGAGATATGGTTTGCTTGTTTATTTGGGTAAATTTATACAATACAGGAAGTTAGATTTGAGTTAAGTGACAAATGAGTTTGCTTCTTCTTTTCTCTTTTCCCTATTGCATAATTTGTAATTAAAAAACGGGTATAGTTCTATAAATATTTCCTTTTTGTTGAGAATCTTAATTTGAGCGAGAGTGTGCTAAAAGAAAGTTGGATTTGAATTGATTGCAACTTTGATTTAAAGATTAGTTTAAAACCCGCCAAAAGACGTTTCTGATAAAAAGTCTGGTGTTTTAGGTGCTTTGGGTCCATGTGACTCTTTTCTTTTATAGGAATCTTCTTTACTTGCTTTGTGCCTTTTCCCTTATCTCTCTTCTTTCTTGGTTTGTAAGCATAGTAGTTATAGCTGAAATTTAAAACTATTTTGTTTGATTCTGTTGTGTAGAATTCTTGTTTAGTAATCTTTCATCCGCTTAAGCGTAAAATTGCTTTATGCAGCATCCAGTTTCAAGTGTTCATTAACTTGGGGCTGCCAGTGTATTAGAGAAAATGTCATTCCGTAGTATAGTTCGTGACATGAGGGATGGATTTGGGAGCTTGTCGAGACGGAGTTTTGAGGTCAGGCTGCCAGGTCATTTCAGAGGGAAATCTCATGGCTCAGCATGTGAGTTGCTTGACCAGCCTGTGGTCATTCAGGATAGTCCTTGGGCTGGTCTTCCACCAGAATTACTGCGAGATGTGATCAAGAGATTGGAGGCAAGTGAGAGCACATGGCCTGGTCGCAAGCATGTTGTTTCTTGTGCTTCTGTGTGCAGGGCTTGGAGGGAAATGTGTATAGAAATTGTAAGAAGTCCAGAGTTCTCTGGGAAGATCACCTTCCCTGTTTCCCTGAAGCAGGTGAGGTTCGTACATACTTTGTCTTGCTTCTATAATATCTTTATACAAGGTCATTTTCATACTTGTATAAGGTTGTTGTCCTTTCAACCAAGTTCTGTCTATGCAAGGTTCTATCTGAGAATTAACATGTGGATGCACAAAGTTATTTTGTATGGGGTTTGCTATGACACAGAGTGATAATTGACAACTTTTTCGTTATCCATTTATAGCCAGGGCCCAGGGATGGAACCATCCAGTGTCTCATAAAGAGGGACAAATCAAAATTAACTTACCATCTTTTCCTTTGCCTTAGCCCTGGTGAGCTTTCCTCTTGACATTTTGGCATTTGATTGTCATGACTTTTATGTGACCTGTTTTGTAAATAGTGGTCTTATATTGATGTATGCAGGTAACTTACCAAGCCTAATCTCCTTCTCTCTATTTTCTTGTGTTCTTCATGGATGGAAGTAATGAATGTTTTTTACCTGCATGCATTTGATTGTGTCATGATGCTGTGGTTTCTACAGTGATGCATAGCTGCGCCACTTGCCCTTGTTATTGACATTTAATCATGTTTCTATAGTTGCATTAATGGTGCCTTCTTATTACTGTGCCACAACTAGAAGTTGCTTCTGTCAGTTATTTAACCAGCTAGACAATATATATTTTTTTTTTCTGATTAGTTGCAGTTCATTTTCTATGTTGCAAAGAGACCAGTTTGGTTGCTGCAAGTTGTTTTCATGATCCAGATGCCTGATTGATATGCATCTGATGTGTTCTCTCTCACACACACAATTGCAGCTTTTGTTTTCTTGAATGTTTATTTTAAAGTAGCATTACTCTATTTTATCTGTTTTGTTTTCTTTCTATCAAGTTTGTCCTACTGCCTGGAAAGACAGTTATTCAATGATTCACGTTTTTTTTAATTATTTTGTGCTAGTGACTTGCATTATGATTTTAGTTAAAAGGAAATTTCTTCTTTCCAAAAGTCAGTTGTGTAAATGGGTAGCAAATTCTTTTTAATGGCTATGCATACGAAGTTCTTCTGTAAAATATCTATCAAGCAAATTTTTGGAAACTTTCTACTGAATCTGCTGTTCTAAGGTATCCTCTTGATTTTCTTTGAATTGTTGCTCGAGTTCTATTTTATCAATCTGAGTTATTACTCCCCAAAGATAACAAAAATCACTATAATACTCTCATTCAGCAACTAAACTGTTTGATACAAAGTTTCCTCAATCTACTATAGTATTCTATATTAATATGCTGTTTATTAATTTAATGCTTTGCAGCTTTGCTTGTTGAAAATGGAAAATTTCTTCTTTCTGCAAAACGTTCTCGGAGAACTACTTGCACAGAATATGTAATTTCCATGGATGCAGACAACATATCAAAATCAAGCAGCACATATATTGGAAAACTAAGGTGAGAGTTCATTTTCTGTATGATATTTGATTAGCTGCTAATGCCCCAAATTTATGCTACAATTGTCATACTAGTCTTGCATTGGATTGTGGTAATTTCCTTTAGTTATGACTTGAAGACAATATATGTTTAATTAACATTCCATTTGGGTTCAAAACTGGCCTAATCCATGCATGGCAGTCCCCTTAAGAGCTAATATAATATAGCAACCTCCATTGTCTAGTAGACCAAGGTGTACTTATTACCTAGCTATATAGTCAATAATCTCATTGCATAGTTTTTCTGTAAACTTGAACTGTATATTTCTTTTTTGTTTTTATTAGGAATATATTCTTCTCTATTGTATAGGATTAAGTGTGTATGGGTGCCACATGCTAGCATGCATGTGTATGAGTATGCTACTATAGTTTAAATATCAGCTTAGCCATGTCATTTTTTTCTTTTGTGATACCTGAAGCTAGGCTGAAGATTTGGTTAAATTTTTCTTTTCTGTTTCTCCATGTGAGGGGGTGATAATTGTTTACTCTGCAGATGCATCAGAAATGTGACTATTGATTGTTTCATGCTTCATATAAATTTTACTTGATCAAGGATCTTAAAGATAAGAGTGAAGAATTGATGTAGACCTTTCTAGTGAGGTCAAGGTGTCCAATTGGTATGAACCATTTATTGCAAGGGTTTGTTAAGCGAGTGAGTTGGTGCTTTTAAGACTTCCTACCTTTAGGTATCATTATAAGAAGTTTTGCAATGGTATTTAATTTTAGGGCCGTGAGATTAGTCGAGCTGGCTTGAATATCTATGTTAATTAAAAAAATAAAATTCTGCAATGACTAACGCACAAAAGGAAACATTAAATGCACAAAGTTCAATGAATTGGTGTACTTATGTGTCAGAATTGTGTTGAAATGCTTATTGTTCTTGTTTCAGGTCAAATTTTCTGGGAACCAAATTTATAATTTATGACACGCAGCCCCCATATAATAATGCTCAGCTTTCTCCACCTGGTCGAAGCCGTAGGTTCTACTCAAAGAAAGTCTCTCCAAAGGTTCCTACAGGCAGCTATAACATTGCTCATGTTACATATGAGCTGAATGTGCTTGGCACCCGGGGCCCAAGAAGGATGCACTGCACCATGCACTCAATCCCTGTATCATCCCTTGAGCCTGGTGGTTCTGTCCCAGGCCAGCCTGAGCTCCTACCATGCTCCCTTGAAGACTCATTTCGGAGCATTTCCTTCTCGAAATCAGTTGAAAATTCAACTGAGTTTAGTAGTTCCCGGTTCTCCAACATTGTTGGGCCTCGAGAAGAAGATGAGGAGGCAAAGGAGAGACCACTGGTCCTCCGGAACAAGTCACCAAGATGGCATGAACAGTTGCAGTGCTGGTGCCTTAATTTCCGTGGGAGAGTGTCAGTTGCCTCTGTCAAGAACTTTCAGCTTGTTGCTGCCACGCAGCCTGCTGCTGGTGCACCAACACCTTCGCAGCCTGCTCAATCTGATCATGACAAGGTGATTCTTCAATTCGGTAAGGTTGGCAAAGATACGTTCACCATGGATTACCGGTATCCTTTGTCTGCATTCCAGGCTTTTGCTATCTGCTTGAGCAGCTTTGACACTAAATTGGCATGTGAATAGAAAAGAAAATGGCAAGAGATATAGAACATGTAGTTTCCTAGATGTTATCTTTCTATGGCTTTCTAGGATGGGGCGGTTGTGTGCAGTCAGTCACTGTACAACTTACAGTTGACTGGAAGGTGCAGAACATCTCCTCACATTTGACTGGTCTTTCCTTTCCCACTTTGCCCCCACTCTGTTTCCATTGGCTTAGTTTGTTTGAAGGATTCCATCGTACACTTTTGTGGTGTTGTTAAATCCGTTGCCTTTCATATGACAAGAATATGTTCGTACGTGTTCTCCATGAAGTAATTTGACCCCCAGCGGCATGTTTGTGGGATGAAACGATAATGTGTGTTACTTTGATGCTTTGACTTTGTTCATAAAGGATATTTATTATTTAATTTTTTTTATTAATGGATCTAATGAATATAAAAAAATAAATTTTTATTAATTTAATTTTTTATTAATAAATTTAATATTCTTGACATACAAATATTTTATAAATAAAATTATAAAATTGTTTTAATTATAAGATTTTGATTGTATTTAAGTTTTTTTTTTTCTAAATATTTTTGTTTGTTCTATTAAAATGAAGTTATTAAGATTTATATATGTTATGTTTATTTATATATATAGTTCGTATAACTTTAGGTATAAAAGATATTTTAAATTAATATGTAGGTGCTTGTTGAAAGGCTAGTATACTCAATTGACATGTATAAGGATTTTGTATAGAGATATTACATGTATATATAAAAAGATTATGTAAATGATTTTTAAATTTGAGATTATTAAGTTATCATAATTTATATATAGAATGTTATATTTTAATCTTATATAAAAATATTTGAGTAATCAAGAGATGATTCTTCACTGAAAGTGAATTAAAAAAAATATTTTATATGTTTTTAAATAGTATTGATTGTAAATTTTTTATATAATATGAAATTATATTTGAAAAAAATTTAAAATTTTATTCAAATGATTAATGATTATGGTATTGAGTACAAACATGATGAAATGATAATAATTGCACTATTTTTATATAATGTGAAATTATATTTGAAAAAAGTTTAAAATTTTATTCAAATGATTAATGTTTATGGTATTGAGTATAAACATGATGAAATGATAATAATTGCACTAGAAACTATTTACTAAAAGATTAAGTCAAATTATTTATGACTTTTCTAATATTTAAAGGATCATAACACTTTGTTAGATAATGTATTCAATTTTCAAATGTATATCAATCAATTGGTGAGTTGATAATAAATTAAATTATTTTATTTATTTAGAATTATAATTTATATTTAGGTCAACTTATTAGGAATCTAATGGATCATACATATTAAGAACTTTTGGTTAAAAATTAAACTGAAATAATTAATCAAATGTGACTTGTTTATGAATAAGTTTTAGAAATTAAAAACTAAAATGTAATTAATATAAGAAATTATAATTTTAGAACTAGAAAATTAATCAGAGACTTAAAAGAATAAATTTTTAAAAATTATTATGAAATAATATATATAATATTATTTAAGAAGCAAAATGATATTTTATTATTTATAGGGTTATCAACTTTCCACATAAATAAAATGGTATATCTTATATTTTGTATAAAAAAAAACTATATAAGTTATAAAGTATATAATAGAGAAACACTTGCAAGCATAAAAAATAAAGTTCACACTCAGAGATATAGAAGTTTTCTAATTTTTTTTTTATAATGTTTTTCAATTTTGGTTTATGTGTATTATAGTTAAAAGATGAGATGCACTCAGAGATATAGAAGTTTTCTAAAAAAATTTTTATGATGTTTTTCAATTTTGGTTTATGTGTATTATAGTTAAAATATGAGATGATTTTTGGTATGCAATAATCTAGTATCGAAAAGGATGGTTACACCCTAGATTGTCCAATGAGATCCTTGAAACTTCTAAAAAAAATTTAATTTATTGTTTCCACTATATTTATGTGTTTTAAAAAACCTAACAATGTTATTAGAGTTGATTGCATGGTTTGAATTTTATTGGCGTTAATTGTGAATTAATTTTATATGTAAAAATTATTTTTCTCAAAAGTAAATTATCATTTTTTATATAAAAAAAATTCTTGGTTTTTGTTACAATTATAATGCAATCCAAATTACAACAAATGATCTATTGCAAGTTCCAACAACTACAAGATCAAGTGCAAAGAAGCTTAAAGATTCATTCAATAAGCTTATTTAAAGTATTTGAATCAAGATAAATTTTAAAGATGCTACAATTTCAATAAGTAATGATCAAATCTTAATCAATCTAAAGTATATGCAAGAGGAATTTGATATATTTACAATACGAGCCCAATTATTTTGTAATGGTGGGCTAATTAATTTCAGCAAGCAGTTTTAAGCTTATTTTTTTAATGTAAAATTTTACTTTAACAAGTATAATATTTTATTTGACCATTGGATTAGACTAAAACTTTATCAAAAATTTATAGATATCTTGTTATATATTAAGTTAAACTTTCAGGTCAATTGGATATCAATAAGGTCTAGAAGCTATCGTGCAAAGATTGTATTAGTTTTCTAGTTGATTTATGATTTTTTTTCTATTTTATTTAAAACTATTTTATTATTTTTCTAGTATTTCTTATGATATTTTTATCTATTATAAATATAATTATTTAGCTTGTATTTAGTTTTTTTTAGGGGAGCAAACTTTGATTCAACAAGTATTATTGCATGTATGAGGTTTCATTCATACTTTTTGGTTTTTCATACTTTGACTTATCAAAAAATTAATTAAATTTTGTGACATCTTCTATATTTTTCATTTATATCTCTTTATAGGTATAGATGTTAGGTGAGGATTTAGTTACTTATAATTTTAGTTAAACTACTTTGACTTATCAAAAAATTAATTAAGTTTTGTGACATCTTTTATATTTTTCATTTATGTCTCTTTATAGGTATAGGTGTTGGGTGAGGATTTAGTTACTTATAATTTTAGTGCCTCAATACATGTTATTGTTGTATCAAATTCAATTCCAATTTTAATCTTAGCTTTCTTAAAAAAGTTAAGAGAGGAGATGATGCAATTCAAACTACACCAAAGAATCTATTACGTGTATTAATTAGGTCTATTACAAGGTCAAATAGACATTTAATTAGTTAATTAAAGATATTTAAGCTTTATTTCCTATAAAACCTGCAAATTTAACTTAATTTTTTACATGTATTTTTCTTGATGTATGATTTTATACTTATAAGTTAGAATTTTATTAAAGATTTCTAGATATCTTATTTTATATTGGGTTTATACTTATTAAAGTAAAATCATACATTAAAAAGAATAAATTCAAAATTGTCTCTAATGGTGAAATTAATTAGCCTACCATTGTAAAATATTTAGCCTGTATTGTAAATGAATTAAATTTTTTTGTATACAAATTAAATTGATTAAAGTATATTATCACTTCTTGAAGTTTTAGTCTCTTTAAAATTTATAATGGCTTAAATACTTTTTATAAATTAATTAATTTAGTCTCTTTAAAATTTATATTGGCTTAAATACTTTTTATAAATTAATTAAATATATCTTTAAATTTATTCGCTCTTGATCGCAGTATAGTTTGGATTGCATCATGTTAGAACTGGCTGGATTTTTCAAATATGATCAGAAAATACTGAAACAAATTAGGTTTGCAGTGGCTACGCCTCCACCAGCAGTGATGCCAATTACTAGCACGCCTGGCTTTGCATATAGGAGAGCTCGTTGTTGGCTGGCCGAACCCATTACTGATAGCAAGGGGAAGAAGATGAGGGGGTAGAATTATGATTTTGACTCTTAAACTAGTACATTGTTATAATAGGGTTTGTGGGTAACAAAATATGATTCTACCCCTACATATATAAAATCTTGATTTTATATTAAAACTAAAACCTTAAAATAAAATAATTATAAAATTAATTTTTCTAATTGGATTAGGATTAAACTAAGGTTTTTAAGTAAGATTTTTTTTTTGTGATTTTCTAAATGGATTAGTATTTAATTAATTTTTTAACTAAAATACTTTTTTTAAAATGAATTTTGTAAAATAAATAGAGTTTTTAATTTAAAAAATTAATTTTTTAATTGGCCGATATTAATAAGAATTTTAATATGATTGATATTAATTTTTTAATTGGCCGTAAAACACTTTAGGATATTAATAAGAATTTTAATATGATTGATTTTCTTATTAAATATTTAAAAATGTTTTTTTAATTCTTTATTTCATTGATCTTAAATTAGTTTAGGATGTTAATAAAAAAATTAATATGATTAATTTTATTATTAAATCTTGATTGTTTTCAAGAAAATATGTATTAGATAAAATTCATAAAGTTTAAAAAATTATTAAATTAAGTTTGATTTAATATTTATAAATATTAAAAATATTATTTTAAAAATATACATAACTCCTATAATTTGAATTAAAAGCATGTAAGAGGTTTGATTATGCATGGTCACGTATCTTTGGCGGATGATTGTGGACATTAAAATATTAATGCGATTGTGTTTTTTATTATTGAATGAATGTAACATTAAACATGGTATGCATGTTCTGCTTTTTTTGTATTTTTTTATGGTTTGTAAAATTATTTTCTTTATTTTATTGTTTAATTCACCTAGAATGTAAATTGATATTTTCTTTTTAATTATGTAAATGTTATATAATTTTAAAAATAAAAATTTAGATTAAAAAAGTCTTTTTATAATCTAAAAAAAATATGAAAAACAATACAATTTTAATGCTTGTAGGACTTAAACAGATTGACAGCAACTTCCTATATTTTAACCCCCTAATTCCCTTCAATATCTAAGAAGAGACTTAGTTTAGTTGTATACATAATCAGCCATAATTATCCTTATAAATGTGATTTTAAATTATCCCATCCATGCCTGCACTCTGTACAGCCCCCATGTGATGTTTCTAATCCTTACTCTGCATGCCGGCTGGAGGACTAGCTACTCATTTGCCTTCAACCTCTACTTGGCCAGAACTTTTTTCGCTGTCACCACCGCAGCCACACATGCAGCCCTGTAACTGATGATTCTCTTAAAGTCTTCTGTCAAAATGGATCAGATCAGTCGGTTTTTCAGCTTAGACAAGCAACTAATATGAGCGGAGCTGTCCTGTTTGGCACTTCCAGATCTTTCCGTACAATGGGAAAAGAAAGGTAAAGTGACCGGCTTTTAGGCGACTTCAGCTTTTCACAGACAATCATCGGAATACTTTACTGTTCATGAATCCTTCTGTAATTGTTTTTGGAAGTATCGACCATTGTTTTTTAATATTAATATATT